TTATTTATTTAAAAATTATAACATAAATATTTATTTCGTTGCACGTGTTTATATACAAAAGCAAGTATGTCATTTGAGAAAGTTCATGAATATTCATCGGGTGGTTGAAAGGTCAGACAAAACATGTGGAGGAGACAATGTGCTATAATTCAAAGTTTACCTTGATAAAGTCCCTCAGAGGACGAAACGTGTTGGCTAAGAATAGTTTTTCCCCTTGTCTTTTTATTCATTTTGTTCCGTTACAGACACACACTATCTGAAAATAATATATATATATATATATATATATATATATAAAGAAAAATCAAGACCATTGATGAAGGGATCAAAGGATAACTTGCAACACCTAAAACACTTATGCAGATAAAGTCTCAAGCAAAAACGACAATACTGAATAAAAGCGGCCTATATATTTACCTATTCGGTAAAGTACTCAAAGCACACACACACATATATATATACATTAAGAAATGGACAAAGTCCGACAATTTATTAAAGACATTTTTTTTTTATGTTTAACATTCTTTTTATAGATAGAAGTATTTAAGTAAATGCTCTGTTTATAATAAACAGTATTAAATAGCATTTTCCGGAAATTTTCATAGAAAATATTCGTCCTTTGACAGGATTCGAACCTGCATCCTATACGGAACCGTCATTTAGCTTGACGTGCCTAATATATATATATACTCTTAACAACAAAATTATTCGTACAGCCATCAATTTGGGATATTTTATCCATTTCTCAGAATCTAATGCCCATATGATGACAGTTTTTTTATGTCAAGAAGACAAATTAAGTGTTTGCTCTTTTAATTGATCCATTTTTTATCATAGATGCGTCAGTAGCGGAACTGTCATCGGCGCAGAAAGTGGAATCGACAAAACGGGTTCGAGATCAGACCCCGTCTGCTTCTTTCACTTTAGACTCAAATTCCCTCTCCGCACCCTTCTTGGGAAAGGCATGTCTCTATCACTTCTTCCACCACCTATAATTTAACTAGTAAGCTAAACTGGATTCTTGCGCCTTGGCTGGTAGTCACTCTAGGAGAAGACAACTCAGAATTCGCGGAGACGTTAACAGGAAACAACTGCATTATCGTCCCAAAGAAGTAATAAAGTAATTTAATAAAGAACAAAAGGATAGGAATCTGTAGAGAGCAATGATCGTGAAGTGACATGGCATCTTTTTTCAAATATATCTTTTCGCGCATGGTTTATACACTATAAGAACATAAGACAATGTAGCAAAGGAAAGCAAGAAGAAAAGACTAACTATTAACTACTGAGTGCGATGGATAAATTGTCTAAATTACACAAAAATGAAAATAACACTGACGCCTCATTTTAACAGATATATTTACCAAATTACACAAAAAATATCTTGAAATACTTAAGCGTAAATTTACCCAATAAAATCGCCTTTGACTTCAATCGTGGCATCTAGGCGTCTTCGGAATCTCCTGCGACTCTTCTAGACAGTCTCCTTGTTTAAGTTGGTAAATGCTGACATAATCCTTGCCTTCAGTTCATCTTTGGTGGTAGAAAGAGTTTTGTTAGTTACACGCTCAACTGCGCTCCACACATAATAATCAAGGGTGTTGCAATCTGGGAAGTTAGGTGGCCATATGTAAAGAGTGATGTCGTCACAGAAATTATAGCCATGACTGGGTTCTGCTTATGTGCCATGGTGCAGAGTCCTGTTGCTAAAAGTAGGGTCTTCCAGCAGCCACTCTCTTGCCCAGAGCAGCACTACCTCCTCAAGGTACTCAATGTAAGCTTCTGTGTTGAGTCTGAGGCTCTGTGGAAAGATGAATGGAGACATAACGTCACGATCACGCGTGATCACTCCAAAAACCTTCCGAGATACCGTACCTTCGTAATCAACATTATACTCATACAACTCTTTCCGAATCAACTACACTGTCCTCAGACTGAATACCAAAACACTCTTAAATATTCGTATTGGAGCTTTCAGCGCGAATCCCAACCAATACAGCAAGCATGCCTTTCCCCAAATTTCTTGTGAAATGCTCTTTTTCTCACAGACGGTGCCCAACTGACCCTACAATACTGTGCAGTCGAAAAAAATATAAAAAACAAACAACGCGCATGCGCGAAATTAAAATTATAAAATGGCGACTATTTACCTATCGTACCCTGTATAAGAAGACAAAATATACATTCGTCAATCAGAGTGACAGTCAAAGGTTTGAGCTTCGAAATGGAGGCATAAGAATGAGACAGACATAGAAATATATCTATCTGATTAGTGTAGCAACCGACGATGGAAAAATTTGACACCGAAATTCGAAGACCCATCGGAATATCGAAAGATGTCTTCCAGTGACTAAGTAAAATATTTAGAATTAAAAAATTATCGTTAGAAAGAGACAAACAAAAAGATTATTGAATTGCTGTGTCATATCTCTTCTGCATGGCAGTGAATGCTGGAGAATTTCATTACCGATGAAGAACAGATTCGAAGAAACATTGATATACTTACAGGCTGTTGCAGAGAATATTGTAGGCTGAACATGTGATCAATGAGAAGCTTTTAAAAGAAACTAGAAAGACGTCTTCTTTTTCTTTTTCTATCTGCCGTGACCCTTTAGAACGTGGGAGATCATAGCTCTCCACAACTTCCTGTCACTTGTAGGTATCAAATCGTTTAGAGACACTTATCTATCAATTTTATTAAATTGATTGATCGTAATTTACAACTTATCAACCCTTGTGGGTTATTTAAAGCCACTAAAACGCAAGGGGTTACTGAGAATGAAAGAAAAAGAGAAAACGTTAGTGAGAAGAAAGGACAATAAAAGAACAGATTTTTAAAAGACAGATGACTACTGGTGTTGCATTTAGTTTTTGAAGACCATAGTTTACAGGAAAAGCAAGAAGCCAGAAGAGTTTTCCGCAGATGAGAAGTACTGTTAGAATAGAACTTACGGTTACACCTAGCAATTTCAACAGTCACGGGATGAGACCGAACTGCCAATCTAGTACTGCGCTTAAATTCATGAAATCTGGGTACCAAAAAGGAAAGCTCACCAGAATAAGTGCTATTCATAGAAAAGGGAGGGGAAACTACCTGACGGCAGTGGGAAAATGAAGCCGAGATGTCAGGTCAGTACCGATCTATTTGTGGCTGTCGTGCTTTCTTCAAGGTAAGCTGGCTAAAGAGGAAATGACACGGAACATATTTAGTGATAAAACCAACACTAAGACTAAAATAAGCATAAAACCGTGCGACAAAAGAAGAAAGAACTAATTAAAAAAACAAACAAACAAAAAAAACAACAACAAAAAAATCACTCTCAAAAGAAAACAAAAAAAAGTGCACCTATATTCCAATAATCAGAATTTCTTATATCTGCATCTATTTAAGATTTTTATATGCATCTGTATGCGTATGTGCGTATGTGTGTGTAAAATTACTAGTGAATACAACACTAATGTTCGATCTGGAGGTAAGCAAGCTAGTGACATATCTATTATGAGTTTGTCCCTAACCTATGTAGAGTGCATAGATGCTGCACTAATCCTAGGTCGAGAGATGGGCAACGACACTTTCTAAGTAAAGTGCTGAAAGATGGAAATATTTCGTTAGAAACAAAGAAAAGAGTGTTGGATTTGTATGTGATATTCATCCTCTTATATGGCTGTGAATGCTAGACAATCTCCCCTCCCCACAGATGTGGAGAAAACTGGAGGCAGCAGCAACGGTGGTTCTTAAAGAAAATGGCAACTGAAAGAACACTTATACTCAGAATCTGGAAAAGACAGCCGAATTTTCCTTGGACACATAATGAAGAAAGAGAACTTGGAAAACTTAACCCTCACGGGGCATATTAAGGGCAAGAGAGATAGGGGTGAACATTAATTGTGTTAGTGGATGGCGGGGTGAGGGCCTTAGCAAAGGGAGAAAACTGCTAAGAGCTAATCGAGATCGGGAGATGCGGAGAGCCATGATCACTATGTCCTGCAGGGACGCACACATAGAAGAAGTATAGGTATTCTTCTTTGGAGATCACGTATATCCCGAAAGAGATATAATATTAAAAAAAAAATCGCCAATGTAAATTGAGCTCTCTTAGCCATACATTTTAAATTTTGAATCGTAGAATCATCTATAAATGTATGCAGTGTGTTCTAAGCATAGAGTGTGCGTTAACGAACTGATCTCGCAGTCTATGGTTAGTAAGCGACAGCCTTCACTCTGCGCCATTTTATAATAGACTTTTATTATACTACGGTAACCTTTGGGCACCTCTACTTTGTGTAATATTTGCAAGCTTGTCACGCTAGAACAATTACGACTGAGTAGTGAGTTCGATCCTCACTGAGTGCTCCATTCTTTTGGCCTTGTGCTACATAAAAGTAACGCTTAGAAGTCACCATACGTCACGTAAGCTGACGAAAAAAGATATTAGATGAGTGCACACCAGAGCAGACTACTCCCCAATAACTAGCCAAGGAAAAGCTGTTATCAATATGTTCAACATAAGAGGGGGGTCCTGAAAATTGTTCGGTCTGACCAAGAAGCTCTCACAAAAATAAAAATATAGTCAGATTTTTAAAAAATGGTATGAAAGAAAACTTTTCAGCATTTTCTTGTATATATAAATACATTCATTTTTATATACTAAGCTTAGTTTTGGCACAAGGTCAAAAGTACGGAGCACTCTTTGAAGATAGAACTCAACCAGTCAAGCTCGTTAGCCATTAATCAACCTTGATGCTTCCCTGTGTATGTGACAAAACTTTAAGTAAAAGCCACGCACGATAAAGTTCAAATGTTTGAGAGCCGCAAGACGTGAACAAAATTTACGCATACGTTCTTCTTACATACACATTTTGCTACAGAATTTTTATATAAATATGAAGAAATGCAATAATATTCATTCATGTATACAGTTTTTAAACTATTAATTTGTATTGGTTTTAATAATACTAAAATACACATATATATACCTAATTTTTTCAAATGATGATTA